GGCAGCCTATGCCAGGGCATTGGAAATAGCAGAGACAGATCCAGCCCACAGTGGGCATGGGTTGCCAGGGGTGAAGACACCTGAAAATGGTGCAAGCTTATGGCATAAGCAGGTGGCATGTGCCATGTTCGTGTCTATGAACAAATGCAAACCATTGCCTCCTTGTATTCCAGGGTCGAGAAAATGCCTTTGTCCAGAACTTTGTCAGTGCCGCAGCAGTGAGGAAGGAGATGGTTCACTTGTTTATCAACACAAATGAACTAGTTGTGTTTAAAAATACAGTTTTAGGAGTGTTTAAAAATACAATTTCAGGAATACATTAATCTGTGGAGACTAGGTCCAGTGTGCAGGAAAACATGAAATGTTTTCAGACCTTATTTTTCTTGAAAACTGAAAAAGATGGCTCTGTGCTGTGTACAAATGCAGAGCTATGTGCCTGAACCAATATGTCAAACTGTCATGTGGGAGATTTGGTGAAAAACATCTTGTCCTAAGGGAATAATTTTAAACACTATATGTAGGTTTGCTGCCTCATAAGGGATCATTACTCAAATCTATTCCCTCTTATGGTAGCTTGGCCTCTGCTTAACGGGCACAGAGTGAACAGAAGCCCATTAACGCGTCCTTTAAGAGTGGTTATCAGATGGTAGAGGGGAAACAGATCTCTGATCAGGGAATATAGTGTTTTTGGCCAAATTCTCAGATTCAGCCTTAACAAGATCAGTAGCAATCCAGGGCCTTCACGCTCGGCTGGCCATCGAGGGCGGCGGCGGGGCCGTGCTGTGCCGGGCGGCCGGACCCTGGGCAGCGCAGGCTGTGTCAGAGCGGTGAAGAAGTGTAAGGGATGAGCCCTGGGGCAAGGAGCCATTCCAGGGATCTTCACCTCCTGTTTGTCACTTCAATGTCGCAGGAATGCTGAAATGTGGAGTGGAACCCACTCCCAACCAGACCCCTACCAGACTGTGGCTATGCTGTCGCTCCTGCGTGTCACTGCCTCCCGTCCTTTTGTTGGTGGTGATTTTGGCAAAAATGAGAGGGACGGCATGAGCAGCACCTGAAGAGCATCATCATCTCCCGGTGCCTCGTAGCATCCGTGGTTGCCTTGGCTACACCAGCTCTCCCTCAATTAACCTCCTCTCTGGCAAGAAGATGCATGCAATGTGTGTTAGTCTTACAGGTGAACTCGGTTTTAATGGGATTAGTTTACTAAAAATCGGGACACCTCTGGGTTTGCACAGTGCTTGGTGGGGTTGTCACAGTTAAAATAACATATTTATTTTTTAATAATGCATAAGAAGATGCTACATGAGGAAAAAGGCTTTACGGAGTAGCTTAACTGCTCAGGGGCTCAGGAAAAAGAGGGAGTGAGAAGGAAGCTGGAGGAACTGCAGGTGTGTATACACAGTGTCTGCAGGAGTGAGGAGAGTGTCAGGGTCTAACATCACTAAAGGAATGTGATTTTCCCGAGCTAATGTGGAAAAACAGTCTGTTGCATGTGTATTGAATTTTTTGGTGAAGCAGAATTCCTGGTCCTCTTCCTGTGTCCCAGCTGCAGGCTCCAATGCTGCTGGCCAGGCTCCTGGCTTAGTCACCATGTTGCCATTAATGCTGTGTAAACAAACAAACAGCAACCTTTTCTTTTCAGAGGCTACGTGCCTTTGCAAAGTAGAGCAGAACGAAAGAGCAGCTTCCTAAATGTGCAAGGTCAGAGCAGAGGGTCGGGCCTGGGGGGAGGCTGGGGAGCCTGGCTGGGCACTGCCTGCTTGCTGTTTGTCTGGGGCTGAACGCCTGGAATGTGTTTGGCTGGGTAAAGCTTGGTCAGAAGCTCTTACCTAAAAGCAAACTGGCTCTGGGAACTACCCCAACGTCACCAGCCGCAGTGGGGTAGGACAGCATCACGGTTGAGTTGGTTCAAAACTCCTTTTGGTCTCTGGTCACTTTGCTGCTTTGAGTTTCATGCCTTCCACATGAACGTAGTGTGAGCTTACATCCAGTGTTTTATCTCTTACCTCTGCTTCAGCATTTGCCGTTTCCAAGGGTCACACACTGTCCTGCAAGCCAGTGGTTGTGCTTTTGTCTGTCCTGGGTTCTGTTGTGTCATGTCCTTTGGTTTGGAGAGGAAGTCTCCACCCAGACCATCTCAAGATCTTGGGTGTGGAGGATGGCCCTTATTAGAAGGGTACTGCTTTTATTAATAACACAAATTTCTTGCAGTAGTTGCTGATAGAGGCAGTTGCACAGTTTAAAGATAATTTGTTTGAACATACCTTGCTTTCAGTAAGGTGCTTCATGACTTGGCGATTTGTCTGGAACTTGACAGCTGTGAGGCAATGACGTGGTGACACCATCTTGCATTACCTGACTAATTTTAACCTGTCCATTTCCTCTAAGATCACCCCTCCGGACTGTGTGTGCTGTGGCCTGAGGGTGCTGGGGCATTGTGGCTCTGAGAGAGGTAGAAAGGATGGCTGGTGGAACAGGTCAGAGTGTTACTGTTCTGGACAAGCATCAGGCAGTATCCTGTCCTTAAGAACATAATTCTTATCAGGTGGATCAGCACAACTATAATTTTTTGCTACAAAGATTTTTTTCCAGGAAAGCATCGTACCTTTGTCAAGACAGAAATATTGGAAAAAAGTAAATTGCACTGAAGATTTCCCTCCAGATTGACTTTGAGAATTCTTGTGCCAGTGCAAGCCTTGCTGTAAGCTCTCATCCCCTCTTTGTTTTGGATTTAAATGTGTCATTTTCTGTGCTCTTTAACGATAGGCAGGAGGGCTGGAGCTCCCACAGTGGTGTCCCGTGGTGAGTGAAGCTTGTGTAGACAGTGGCAGTCAGTACTGACTTTGCAAACTGAGGCTCAGTTCCTGCTCACCTCTTTTGCTTGGGTTTTCCTCTCAGGCTTGTTCACCCCTGTGGGATAGATTTTGCTTTGATTCCTTTAAAAGTAGTTTGCTTCGGAATTTTATCCACAGCAAATGGCTTAGAAATAATTTGCTGATTTACAAGCAAATAAGCCTAATATTTTACTCTTCAGTTGCTTGTGACACATGAACTTCTTCAAGTAGTCATTGCTGAGGACTGGCTCTGTTCGGGGTGTCGGGCTGCCTGCACAGCCGGTGCAGTGGAGCTCCAGCTCTGATCCTGGCCTGGGAATATGCCACCTCTGCCTTGGCTGTTGGAGTCCTTGGCTGTGGGGGTCTCCTGCAGCCCTTGTAGAAACACCGCTGGGACCCCCGGGCCCCTCGTGGCTGCAGTTCAGCTGTGGGACTCTTTCCTCTTTCTCTGCAGCAGAGGAAGAGAGTTGCTGTCACAAGGACTAATCTTGAGGCGCTGGCTCTTCCTGTGCTGAGCCCAGCATGTCCTGTGCAGTCAGGGAGACCTAACAATAAAAATATTGGGTACTTGTGAACAAATACAAGTAAGAAAAACATTTCTCTTTCACAGTTTTCTGCACAATCCCATCTGAGCTTTGAATATTTTATAAATAAAAAGTTTTTAATGTATATTTGCATTCAGGACAGTAAGTAAAATTGAACACCAAATCAAATAGTGGTTATTTAAGAAGTCTGTTTTCTTGCCCTGTGGTTTTCCTGAAGCAATGGTGCTCAGGGGTGACAGGAAAGGAGAGCAGAAGCTCCACGTGTTGGGACGGTGGTTGTGGAACTCAGCATTTGGGTATTATGTGGCAGCCTCTACTCCGTGCTTCTGCTCAGCCCCTCGGTGGTGCTTATTTATCTGACTAAAACACCCAACAGCAACTGCAGGGAACTGGAATCCATTTGGAGCATAGAGAGCGCCTTTGCCGTGCTGCTGCCGGATTCCTCGATGGAGCAGCATGTGAGGGTGTCGGCGAAAGGTGATGGTGGTGCAGGCTGGGCTGTGCAGTGATAGACATCTGTGTGTGGATGTAGACAATCTCTGTGTGGGGTTTGCACATGGCTGCACCAACGCAGGGCTGAGCAGGCAGCAGTGCTGCTCTGGAGCCCTGTTCCTTCTCCCAGCGCTCATGGCATCGTGTCCCCAGATTCTCAGTAGTTTCTCTGTGTGGTGTAACTCTACTGTTTTAGATACAAGCATCTCTGACATCTTGTTAGAATCAAGCATTAAAAGTATTTTCCATTTAAACCAGGGACTTCCAGGCTAGTTTAGGATTATTAATATCATTGTGATTGTGTAAGAATCTGGTCAGTTCTGGTTTTGTATCTGGTATAGCAGCAGGTTCAGTGGAAGCAATGCGAGCTGCTCCATGAAGTGTGGTACCCCCACACTGCTTGGCTTTGTGGAACAGGAGAAAGGTGATGGAAGGTAAAGTCCTGAGAGGTTAAACATGCACAGCCGGCTTTCGATGTCTTTGGCATGTTCCACCCATTTTAGCTACTCTTCACATTAACTGTAAAATCCATGGGGAAAAGGCCAAGGGATATTGTTTAGGATGTTTCAGTTAAAGTCTTCCATTTGTGGTTAACAGAAACTAATGATAGCTAAAGATCATACAAAGCCTTAAAATGAAATAAATTTTAAGAAAAATATTATTGTGGTGCTCCATTAAAAGAAGGGAACAGGGAGACCATTGCTAGGAGTGACCATGAGGGCACAGAGGGCTCAGGGCTGGCTTCCTGCTTGGAGATGTTTCAGCATCCGTTCTCAATAGCAGAGGGTGCACAGGGAAGGAAAGCTCCCAACAGTACTGCAGTCTAGGACACACTCATCGATCCTGGATCCTTCCCCAGCATTCAGACGTGTCGCTGGTTTGTTTCAATTTGTTCTTCTGCCCTGGTAAAAAATCAGCCATGGATGTTCTCTGCAGGGTGGGGAGGGGGAGCCACACCAGTGGTGGTGACACATTGTCCCTGAGCCGGGGGACGTGACGCTGCAGGCGCAGGAACCGGGGCATGGGCTGGTGGGGAGAGGGTGAGGCAACCCCGCTGCTGCCGCCCGTGAGTTGGTGGGGTTGCATGTCATGGGTCTCCTAACCTCTCTCTGTGAACCCTTTCCAGCCCACGACCTTCCCCCGAGCAAGACCTCGGCAGCGGCGGCGCAGACGGGCAGCCACCTGCAGTGCCTCTCGGTCCACTGCACGGACGACGTGGGCGAGGCGAAGGGCCGGACTGCGGTGCCAACGTGGAGGTCCCTGCACTCGGACATCTCCAACAGATTCGGGACTTTTGTGGCTGCCCTGACTTGAACAAAAGAAATTATTTTTTTTCTTTTTTTAATTTCAAAGGGCCGCTACTGCTAGGTGGACTATTTTTCTAGGTTGGTACCTGCTTAGTGGCATATGGACTGGAAAGGGTTAATTTAAAGTAAACCTCAACTTTTTTTTAATCTTCTGCCACAGTATGTTACCAGTGTTAACCCTTCTGCAGTTAGCACACTTTTGCTTAAGATTTTCCTGCTAGACCACTTTTTCCCATTATTCTGTAACCTTGGCATACATTTATAGATGAGGCCTTTTCCTTTTTCATCTCAACGTATGTCCAAGTCACGTATGTCATAATAAGACAAAGATTCTCCTCCTCCTTCTCCTTTTTTTCCTCATTTGCTTTGTTTCTCTTTTTTTTTTTGTTTTGTTTTGTTTTGTTTTGTTTTGCTTTGTTCAGTGCTTATTACAATGGTGATCCTGAGGAGCAGCAGTTCAGGAATAAACACCAGTGAAAGTGAAATGGTCAGCATTAAATTATATGTCGTACTGACACCCAGCCTTTGCCAGTCACATACAAAACAAGCAGTTGATGCTCTGTCGAATGTTCAGGCATGGACCTGCCCTTTCCTGAAAGAATGAGGTTCTCCTGTTAATGAGGTTCAGCCTCATTTGCTCTGTGCCTCCTGGTGAGGCCAGGACGCTCCTTCTTCTCTGTACCTGGGCCCAGCCCCGGGATGGAGCTCTGTCATGAACGGGCTGGTTCAGGCACAGCGGGGAATGTACCGAGAGGTTTTTCTATGTAAGTCTAACAGGAAGTTTTCTTAATGGTCAAGAGTCGTTATTTCCTCCTCTGAAAGCCCAGGCTCCCTCTTGCTTTCCAGGGCCTGGTGGTGCTCCTGCAGTTCTCAGTTTACTGATGCTGAAAAAGAAAATCCCCTGCACCCTGCCCATTTTTTGCCCATTTTTAGCTGCAGAAAGATGCTGTTGATTGGTAGCAGGTCCAATGTCCCCTGTGCTTGTCTGGGGGTGCCCCAGCCCCTGCCACCTCAGGTCCTGACGCAGTGGCAGCAGCTGGGGATGGCCCAGGTTGTGGGATGCAGGGGGCTGTCTGCTAGGGGCAGCGTTTCCTAATCTGCCAGTGCAGAGAGATCCCTGTCAGACCCCCCCAAACTCATTCAAGGTCCTGCTTCTGCCACACACTGAAGAACAGCATTGCTGGATGCACACAATAAAAGGAAAGCCATGCTTTCCTGCTCGGGCTAGATAATGCTCATTCGAGACGAAAGTTGGAAGCAAACCAGATAAACCCACGACTGACATGATGGCCTGACTCTCCAGCAGTTTTACGTAATACTGTCCATTATTTGTGTGTCCCTGTGCCCAGGAGTGGCCCCGTCTCGCCCCGTGCCGGCAGCTCGCCTCCTGCAGATCCTGGAGCTCAGGAACAGCACTGGAGGATTAGGTTTTGGCTGCCAAATAAAGGTTGGCCTCTCTAGGGTTATTTATTCATGATTTCACAAATGTGTCCCTGCTGAAGGGATGGAGTTGAAGACTGCTTTGTGTTTTATCTTTGATGATTGTGCTGGGTTTTTAATTATTTTGACGTAATATTCTCAGTAGACACCAATGGAGAGGAAATTCTGCCTAAAAAGCCAAGGGTGGTCTGGAATCCTCACTCTCGGTCGTACGTGGCTTCAGAGAGACTCGCAGTGTTTGGAAATGTGATTTGAATGTGCTCTTATTAACCATGCATGGATTGATTTATGGGTCTGGTCAATGAATTGACTTTGGATAAATTTGGATAGTTTTGAATCTTGATTTTCAATATTATTTTACTTTTTATTGAAGCTGGAGCTGCCACGAGGATGAGGATTTTTGCCCATCCTGAAGCAATTGGCTGTGGAGCTGCCTCACGCCCACTTGGTTTGGAACAAAAAGCTGGGATGGTTTGTACCTCTGTTGGGGTGTGTGACTGGGAGTACAGAGCTCCTCCTGCACCTGCAATAAAATATCACCATCCCCAGAAAGTATCTCCTGGTAGAATAATCACTGTCAGCCTCCCTCTGGAAGGTGCCTCTTTGCCTGTGATTCCTCAAGTCCTGGCTCACCCAAGTATGTGATTTTAAATCCTGTCAGCAGAGCATAGGGGGGATGCTGAGCTAGGGGGTCTGTGCCTACCAGGGCACTTGTGCTGCTGCGAGGGGCTCAGTCCACAGAGGGGGGTCCTGGTGTGGCCCTGGTCCGGTACTGTCTTCCGTCACAGCTGAAAATTTTGTCCGAGTTCATGGCCTCATGGCATTCCTGCATGGAGTGCAGCCCCTTGCCTTGCTGCTTTGTTTTTAGTTTTTCCTGCTGCACTGAAGAGAACAGGTTTTTCAGGCTTCCTGAGGTCAGGGATGCACACCCTGTGCCACGGGAAGGAACCTGTCAGGGAACGCAGAGTTCAGATGCTTTTAAAGAGAAATCGCCGTTTGAGTGGAACTGTTGCTGCCTTGGTCTGACCAACAGTTCTACTCGTTCATCATTGGCAGCTTGTGCTTCTCTTCTGCAGTTGTTCTCATCCACTTGGAACTTGCTTTCTTGCTTGCTCATGGAAATGCAGAGTGCAAGCAATTCCTTAAAAATCAGTGGAATTCTGTGAAATGAGGCCAGGCTGTTCTGAGGCCAGGGGCTGTGTCTCCAGGTGCCGAGCCACGGGAGCTGTGGCACTTGGCTGCTGCTGGCTCTGCTCCGGGCGGTGGGTGCAGTGTGGGGAACAGGACTGTCAGAGAGTGAGCAGTTAAACCAGCAGCTGGCTGTGTGCTGGGAGTTCTCCTGAATCATATGGTCACATGCAATCCTCTTGCTAACCTCCTGTCCCTTTGATCTTAACTGAACGAGCTCTGCCTGGGGCAGCCCCTGGTGATGCCAGGACCAACCAAACCTGTGCTTTTGGGGTTTTGTTGCTTTTTGCCAAAGATCAGAACAGAAACGGTACATCCTGACCAAGACAGGCATCACGTCCTGCTCATCACCTGGGAATGTGGTACTGACAGTGTATGCAGAGGGCTCGAGCTTTGTCACAGAGCTGGTGGTACCTGCAGTAATTTCATTGTACCCATTAATTTTACCCACTAATTATGTCATTTTCTGAATAATAATATTCCAACTGAAGCATGTTTGAGAGCTGTAGGTAAAAGCCAGTTGTGGAAGAGGTAAGTTGCACTCTTGTGGAGAGGGAAACTGAGGCACAGACAACATCGACCTGAGCGTGTCAGGCATATTGGTGGCAGGGCTGAGCTGCACCGAGGTCTGACCTCTGCTCACTGCAGAGCCCCATGCCCGAGGCTCACTTCCTTCGGGGTCTCAGCTGGGTCAATGGGGAGAATTTTATGAGCTACATGTTTCCCAAATGCCAGGGCAAAGCCAGGATGGTGAAACCTCCCACCCGTGTGTCCTGTGCGGCTTCCAGATGGGGGATGTTGTACAAGAAGCCAAAGACTGGTGATACATGATGCACAATCCACTTTGGATTGTGAGCAGCAGCTAAAACATGGCTTTACCTTTGTCGTGGGGATTCTCCCTGGCCAGCCCGGCACTGGAGGCTCCCACACAGCCTTGGAGCTGCAGCAGGGGAACTGGGATGTCCCCCACCTCCCGGCCCTGTGCCCTGGCTCCCTGTGTGTTTGTTAAAAGAAACCCTGTGCTTAGTCTGCAAGTTACAGTGTCATAGCAAACTGAGCGAAGTTTGTCTTGCATTTCAATTGGGAGGAGTGATAAAACATCTCATTGCCAGGTCACTTTCTCCTGGAGTTACCCATTCTCTCTTATTTGAGCATCAGTGAGGGGGTTTAGGCTCATTGTTATTTAGTTAAGATTTTCACTGTGTGTGAAGGTGGACGGGAATGAGTACCAGAATTCTGTCACCTGGATCACTTGGGGACCTGTGCAGATCCCATGGCCTCCGTGGTAACTGTGGTGCTGGCTGGCCTTCAGAACCTGGGGTCAAGATTGGACTTCCAGGCACCACCAGGAAGGCAAAAAATTCCAGTTTCAATAGGCAGAAGGGGTGAGGCGAGTGCAGGGCAGCAGGATGGGCACTGGGAGGGTGGGAGGCAATAGAAACCAAATGGTACATTTGGCTTATTTCTGTTGAGCTGCAGTGTAAGGTTTTCTCAGCTGCTGGATTCACAGCTGTTCAAGGGATGGTGTGTAAGAGCATAACCCATTTTTATAGAATTGTTTCTCCTTTATTGCTTAAGGCTAATGGAGGAAATAGTCTAATTTTGTCTTAGAAATTCTCTATTAAAATTGTTGGTTTGAGTCCATCCGCTCATAGGTTCTGACTGATGAAACTGCAGGCTCTGATTTCTGGCAGTTGTAACTTTATCACTATTCACTACCCAAGAATATTACAGCTTTAAAACAGCCTTAAGCAAAAGGATGTTATTTCTTTGTACTGAATTTGGTTCATGGAAAAGAAAAAAAAAACTGAAAACACTGGTAATCCGTACTGCATAGCAAACTCTTCTGAAAAATGTTATTGCACATGTAAAATATGAAAACTTGACTCTGCTGTGTGTTAGGCAATCCTGTAATCTTTTTTTTTTTTTTTTTTGATTCTTGTTAAATTCATTTCCTAAATGCTTGGTTGGAAGACTGTGACAATAGCTCATGAAATTGAGTGTTATTTTTCTTTCTTTTTTTTAAATATGTAAAGTGCAGTCTTCTGTATTCCTGCATATTGTACATATCTGTATATGTTTTACTGAGCAACTAAATAACAATAAATATGATGTTAATGGTGGCTACTGTATATTTCATACCAGCGTTGTTGATTTTTGTAGTAAGTCCTGTTTCCCCTGGGATGTGAAGAAAGTGAATAGACACTGTTCATGTTCAGGTAAGCCCTGGGCCTCGAGATAGTGGGGAGAAATTTGCCCATGATCTGGGGAAACCCTCGTCCACATGTGGGCTCTGCTGGGGCTCCTGGGAGGTCTGGGGTGTGCTTTGCTCCTGGTGCTCCAGGGCTTTGCCAGTTCCTCCCTGCCAGCAACAGCAACCCTCTACCCCTGCAGGATTGGTGGTTTTTAATTTTGATTTTCTTTTTGATCCTGAGAGAGGAAGGAATGCAGTGTTCCCGGCAGCTGTGCAGTACCTGCTTCGCAGTGAAGCCCATGGAAGATGAGACCTTCCCCTCTCTGCCCAGGCAGGCTCCTGTGGGACTGTAGACCTGTTGGGCAGTATGAGCTCCCGGTGTTCCTCATTCCCACTGTCAGCCCTGACCTCTCCCCAGCCTGTCCCCAGAGGCACTGAAGGATGCTGGCTCGGTCTGTACACTGAGATTGTTGGGACCCTCTCGGCTGCTGGTTGTTTGAGACGTCCATGCAGCTCTGCCCAGATGCTGCCATGGGATTTTTGGGGCCATCCTGCTCTCCTCTGTATGCTCTCTCTCTGTGGCAGCATCTTTCTTTCTCCTCTTGCAACCGGTGGCTCTGGAGCTTGTTCAGAGGAGTTGGACCATGCCTGGAGCTGCTGGGCAGTGGGAGCAGCCCCTGAGGCAGCTCCCTGAGCCCCTGGCCCTGCTGCTGCCCCTGCAGTGCTGCTCCTGCTTCATCTAAGTCGTTCAGTAAAACTGGCCACGAGCTGTGTTAACGGTTGGATTCATGCGGCTCCTCTGGTGCACGAGGCCATTTCTCGGCACCCAGATCTCCCACTGTGCAAAGGCTCCTTTGCTACTGCCAGCAGCTGGAGCTAACTCTCCTGCTCCAGCAGCGCTCTGCCCCCAGTTTCTGCTTCCAAAAAGGCAGCAGGAGCTCGCTGTTCACTGCACATTACATTAACAACTGATGAAAATCAACTGACTAGCCTGTGATTTCTGCTCTTGGCACTGGCTTTACTTGTCCCTGGTAATGTCACCTCTGGTGATGCTGGCACAGTACCTGCCTATCCTGAACACTTGCCTTTGTCCTGGGGCTCTGTGCTCAGGGACTCACCTGGTCTGTGACTGTATTAAGCATGGGTTATAGTTTATTAACTAAAGAAAAGCAAGTGGTTGATCATGGAGCTTTTACAGTTCTTGCTCTCCTAATCGTTGTTCCCTGTGCCCTGTGACTGTGCTGAGAGTTGAAATCTGTTTGTAGCCATGTCTCTTTCCCCAAGCCATTTAACTGATTTAATTACATCCTTTGAGTTGTTTTCTGCACCAGGCTTTGGCATTCCTGTCACAGAGGAGACGCAATTAATGTGTATTGTATGTTCAGCAGTCAGGGATCCGCTGGCAGTGCAGCTGGATCCCGATCCCGTGTGCCGAGATCTGCTCGGCCCCTCCACGGCCATCGCAAAGCAGTGCAGCAGTCGGGAGCGCTGCCCCGGCAACGCCAGCCAAGATTCCTGCCAGAATTCTGTGTTGTGGTGCTGTTTGTGGTCTCCTGTGTGTGACTCCAGAGTTGTTTAAACCCCCTTTTCCCAGGCTGCTTGGTTGAGCTTCTTGCAGACCACTGCTGGTGCGGTGAGAGTATGGCAGAAGACGTCGCTTTCCCTAAAAACCAAGGTAAATAAACACAGGAATGAAAGTTTAGGTCAATTACATCCTTTTGGCTGAGAACATTGTTAGAAACTGGAATTATGATGGGGTTTAATACTAATTATTTCCAAAAGTCCCTAGGCCACGCGTCTGAAAGCCACACGTCTCTCCTACCCAGGGACCAGTTTGTAGCCTTCCCAAGTTTTAGCATCATGGCCAATAACATCACATATATTTTGCTTGTAAAATATCTGAAAACTCTTTGCTCAGGTGAGCTCCATGAGGTTCTGCCTGCAAGGCAGAGGTGCAGATGGAGGTGATGTCTGTTCTGTGCTCTCCTTTCTGAGATGTTGCCAGAGCTCATTAATGACAGTGCCAGAAGTGGAGGTGACGAGACCTGAAGAAAATCATTTAGGTCATCCTTGGTTCATTAGTGCAGGATTGTGCCCTGTTCTCTATTGCCCAGAGCTCTACCAACACAACCAAAATGGATGCAGTAGAGAGGGGCCTTAACCTTTTAGTGAAAAAGAATAAAAACAACCAACCAAACATCCCTTTATCCCAGCTGCGGAGTGGGGATAATGTTTGAGGTGATGGGAGGGGATTTCAGGCTGCCTATTTCCAGCACTGGCAGGCAGCAGTGGGATTATGCACCTGCCAAGCCCAGGTGGTGCAAGGGACCCCCCCTGGAAGGATCCAGGTGGCCCCTGGTCCCAGGACAGCACGTGGCCCATGGGTGGGATGTGGGAGGTAGGATCCCTGGCTCCTTTGCATTCTCACTTGGCCTTAGACACGTGACACCATTAGCCATGCCTGAGCCTCATTATTTCCTTTTAGATCTTGCCTGGGTCACACCTGTAAAACAAGGAACGGAGGAGGAGCCTTGGTAAACGGTTGCTGTGTCCTCTTAGGGGCTCCTGTTAGCAATCCACAGACAAAAGAGCTGTTGAAGTGTCACTATAAATGTGATGTTGAAACATTCATTTCAGTCTCAATGTTGAAGGAGGCTGAGAAGTTTGGCGCTATGAGGGCTCGTGTCCTGCTGAAACATCCTCCTGCTTCAGGGTTAACTGATGGAGAATATTCAGCACTGAGCTTCAGGAGGTGGGAACTTTTCTGAATTTCCTTTTATCCTCTGCAAAATGCCCATCTCTCCCTTCCCCCTTTCTTCCCCCCACCCCCTTTTCTCTTTATAAAGCTGGAATTCTTCCAGACTCTGCTCTGGGCTTGCAAGAAAACTTTACTGTGTAAATTTGCTCTTTGTGTTGGGAGTCCTTTGTTTAAACAGCATTGTGAGCTTGCTGGGGAGGGATGGAAAGAGGGGGAGCTGGGAGGAAGAATTTGAAAAGCCCTGACCCCTGATGAATAAAATCCAGCACATTAACACATTCTTCAATAAATTCATGATTGCAGATAAGGTGGGAGTCCCCAGGGCCGGGCTTTTCATTAACCCCCTGCTGACTAACCCAAACAGACGGGAGTGTTTTGTCAGCGCTAGGACAAGCAGAGCCCTTTTGTGGCGGAGGGGCCGGGTGCGCATGGGGAGCGCTCCTCCAGGAAGCCAGGTTACAAAATGGGACTCTATTTCAGAACAAACTCCTTTTGGTTAGTTTGATGAGATTACAGAAGGGAAAAGGCTTTAACAAGGGGCTTATTGAAGCTAAGTAACTGTTCTGAATACAGTGAGGACCAGGGCAGAAAACATATGATTCCCAAGTAAACAGGCGCCTCAACAGTATGGCTGAAACAACAAAGCTGGACATGCTCCGTGTGGTTCTTCTGTGGCATGTGGGAATGCTTGGAACACATGAACATGTGTGGGAATAACCTGTGCTTGGCACAGCCTGGCACCACCAGCCAGGGCTGCCCTGCACCGTGCACTGGGATGCTGGGCTGGAGAGCGACGTGGGAGGGACACCTGCACCACGTCCACAGTGCAAGGAGCACCTTGTCCAATGTTTTAGCCTCAGAAACCTTATTTGTTCCTCTGGTGGAAAGCCTACTAGGGAAATATTTTGCTTCTGTGGAAACCTATCCCCAAAATGCTTCCCTCCCATACTAGGGAGGTCTCCTGGGTTGTTTGTTAGAATACCTACGTTTTTAAATGATCTGAATTCTGTGGCTTGTTCTCCCAAGTCTTGGTCAGCCAAGCTACTCAGGGTATCACTCAGTCCAAAGAAATGCGTTTTGGGATGAAACCCAGAAAACTCTTGAGTTTGTCTCAGGCTCCTGCTGCCTGCCATTGATGCTGCTGTGCCTTTCCCATGCTGCCCCCCTCCCCAGGAGGTAGCAGCTGATGGTGGACTCCAAGCCTTTTGCAGAGTAGCTCATGCCCAGATCAAGTGAATCCTGTCCTTTGGGAATAAACCCCGGTACTGTGCACAGGACCCTGCACAGCTGCACTCAGAACTGGCAGTGCTTTGGCTCACCCCTCCTGTGGACATGCACATCCCACTGGAGAGGGGATGCAGCACTGGGGCTGAGGGCACTTTGGCCCTGCCAATTCCTGCCTGGGACTCTGCAGGCCCAGCCTTCTTTCACTGCTGTGTTTTTGGTGTGCAGTTTCATTTACTTGCGAGATGATTTTAAATTATTTCCCATTGTTGCTAACAGAAGCTTTTTCAAAATTTCTATGGAAAATAATTCCTCTCTTTTAGGGGAACTGAAGTGTTCCAGCCCTGACTGCTCCTGGCCCCATCAGCATTGCATCTCCTCTCCTGCAATCCCTTATAAACAAACACTGTGTCTGTCGTGGCCTTCTCTCCCAGCAGCACTGTGAGCAAACGTGGCAGGGGCTGGTTTGCAGTCTGTTTTAAACTATTTACACTTCCAAGGTTAATAAAGATAGAGAGAAAAATATTGTATTAAAATGGACCCTCAAGGTTCCTTATTCTTGATGCAGTGAGATTAAGAATTGCCAGTTTCCCTAATTAATGGCCCACACCCTCAGCTTTGAGAGCTCCCTGTGTCTGGCATGATGCTGCCGGTGGGTTTTGGTCTGGAATAACCCCAGTGGCTTGTGCCATGTGCGAACAACCTCTGAAATGTGTTTACTTTGTAAGCCTGATACTCCTTATCAAGGCTCTTGCTTAGGAGCCCAGGTGAAGGCAGCCTCTTGTTTGAAAGATTAATGCTGCGTTGGTGCAATTTCATATTTTGTTGCTCCATCTCATTGATAAGAAGCACCTGGAAGAGGAAAAACCTGGTTGTTTGGGTACACAGAACAATAGGTTCAGGCTCTGGCCGTGGGTCCCTGTGGCCTGTCTGCCTTGTGCCAGGTTGGGGGG